TTCTTTTCCAGATTCTCACCTGTTATTGTAATGCAGCGGTCTTCACTCCCTGAACAGTTCACTGTGTTTGAACAATTCTGTCCATCACAATAGTAACAAGTCTTTCCATTCGGAGTTTTAGTGCTGGGACCTACAGGAAGAAATCAAGTGTTCTTTTATTTTATTTTTCATGCAAAATATGCTACCCGGTCTCATGGCAAAAACGTACCTGGGGGCACTTTTTCGCGAGACGCGAAATACGAACCAATAAGTACATATCACTGCAGTTTCCAAAAGAAATGAACACTAGAGGCAGTAAAACTCCGACACCTTTTAAATTATTTTGTATAAATTATTTTGTAGAAGTATGATTTATAGAGTTTCGATTAATAAAGCGTAATTTTCGCACAATTACTTGAAGAGTATTATGTTGTGACTTCAAAACATTTTTAATATGCTGGGAGATTTGAAAACTGATGCTTTTAAATGTTAGCACCGCACATATACAGCTTCATATAAATGGCTTTTCGTAGACAATATGTTTGTTCGGTAGCTCACGGAGTACGGAGATGTACTTGAGAGGCGAGGAGCTCCGGTTTGAATCCCGTGTAACTACGGTTCGACAAAACAGTTCAAATATGCATATAAGGAAGTTAAAATGGCACGGTTGCATCAAAAAATGTGTTTTTATATCAGTTTTGCATTTGTTAACACTATCGGGTAGGTTTAGGGTTGGGTTTGGTGTAGAGACGTACTTGAGAGGTGAGGAGCTCTGGTTCGAATCCCGTGTAACTACGGTTCGACAAAACAGTTCAAATGTGCATATAAGGAAGTTAAAATGGCACGGTTGCATCAACAAATGCGTTTTTATATCAATTTTGCATTTGTAAACACTATCGGGTAGGTTTAGGGTTGGGTTTGGTGTAGGGCATATTTCCAACACGATAGAGCATTAACTTTTAGCGACAGTCCCCGGATATTTGAATTCTGAATCGCCGCAATACGTACCTGAAGAAACAGAATAAAACCACAGCAATACGTACCTATATCAACGTAATAAAAACGTGCCAGGGTTGACGTATTGAACCCGTGTTTTAGCACCACTCAGTGAACATTTCTCTTTGAAACTGCGGAGAAACGTGCAGTAACGTAAAAACGGAGTTGCAGAAAAGTACCCAGAGGTACGTATTTTTATGAGACTGGGTTGAAAATGACATCTAATGAAACACTTCTTTAGCTGCTCTATCCAATCACAGAAACCAGATTCATTGCATCCCATTTAGGTCTTCTGTATGCACTTACAGTATTACATACAAATCTGTTTTACTTAAAATGCCTTGAAGAAAAGATACCAAAGATAAGCTTAATTGATGTCTGTAATATATGAAGATTGATATATAAATGTTCTTTATTTTTCTTCTCACTGATATTGAAAAATGATATCAAAATCACTTAGCTAAGTTAGCTTTTTACCTCAAAATAAAATCAATAGACATCGCTGTTATTTTATAATGCTGTTAACACTTTCTCTGACAAGCGGCAGTTATGAGAACTGTTTTCTGGTTTGTCATGCGATGTTTGACATATACCTTATAAAAGATTTTATAGTTAAAAACTATACATTTTTAAGGTTTATGCAAAATAAAAAATGTTTACAGACTGAAAAATACAAAATTGAAATCTGCCATTTTTATGTATTTTGAAAGTTTATGTACATTTGAAAGTCAATAAATGTTCTTTTTGTGGCAAAAAGAGTGTCTTCCTTTTACAGCACACACAATTAAAGCAGTAATGCTCATTACAGTAGTATAATATTGTTGTAATAAAAAAATAATGCATTCTATTACTCTGATTGCAATTACGGTACTGTGATTTTTTACTGTAAAAAATTACAGTATTTAATAGTTAAACTTACAGTCAGCATACTGTGGAATATATTACAGCAACTTACTTGCCAATTGCTGCCAGCAAGTTGCTGTAAATTTCACAGTGATCTTTTTACAGTGGGAGGAGGGGGAAGCGGTATTGATTGAAAAACTTACAAAACTTTTGGTAATATGTTAATCTTAATCACGTTTATTCTTCCCATTAAAGAAAGAGGTAGTGTCATCCATCTAGCCATCTCTTCAGATACTTTAGCTAACAAAGGTTCATAATTAGCTGAAATAAGGAAGCTTATTTTAGGGGTTATTTTAATTCCTAGATAATCAAAACCATTTAGAGCATTTACAAATAAGTGAATCACCTTTGGATTTAACCTCTCTTGTTCATTAAGCAACAATTGAAGACTTATCTTTATTTACTTTAAATCCAGAAAAATTATCAAACAGGCCAATAAGCTTTAAGAGGGATGGGATAGATTTTTCAAGCTCTGATAGAAATATGATGGTATCATCAGCATATAAGGGAATACGTTGTTCTAGAGCTTCTGTATAAATACCACGAATGGTAGGGTGTGATCTTATTGCTATTGCCAGTGGCTCCATAGCTAATACAAGGAGTAAGGGCGAAAGAGTTGAGCTTTGCCTAGAACCACGACTAAGTTTAAATGATAGCGAGATTAAATTGTTAGTGAGTACCTCCGCAAAAGAATCAACTAAAATAATTTCCATCCATCTACAGAAATAGTCACCAAATCCAAATCGTGCAAGCACTTCCATTAAGTACAGCCATTCGAGTCTGTTGAATGCCTTTTCGGCATCGAGTGACAGAATGGCCGTATCAGGGGCTCCAGCTCTTGCATGCACTATGTTAAGTACCCTCCTAACATTATTGAACCCATGACGATATTTAACAAAGCCATTTTGATCTATATGTATCAGTTGAGGTAGAACTCTCTCAAGTCTCATTGCCAATGCTTTAGCAATAATTTTGGCATCTGCATTCAAAAGTGAAATTGGCCTTTATGAACCACAATCCACAGTTGACTTTCCTGGCTTTAGGATAAGTGTAATCAGGGCACTTTCCAACGAAGGAGGGAGATAACCCTGTTGAAAAGCTTCTACATACATATCCAATAAAGGAGATATTAATTTCTCTTTAAATTCCTTATAAATGTCAATTGGAAGTCCATCCGGACCCGCTGCTTCACCAACCCTTATATAGAAAATAGCATTGGAAACCACTTCTAATTCCAGTACCCTATCTAGATCAGAGCTTGTCTTTTCAGAAATAAAGGGAATATCCAATGTAAAAAGTTATTTTGATTAGAGGGGCTTGTAGGAAATTTGGATTGACACAGAGATTTATAAAACGAGACAAAAGTGTCGTTAATCTCACCTGGATCTGTCGTGATTTCCCCTATTTCATTCCTGATTTCATTAATGGCTCTTTCTGATATTAATTTCTTAAGCTGCCAGGCTAGCACTTTGCTATAGGTTATTCACCCTGATCATAAAAAGATTGTTTCAATCTCAATATACTATTTCCAGCTTTTAATGTGGAAAGTTCCTCATACTCCGCTTTAAGGGCTAATCATTTTTTGTTTAATTCAGAAGTCTGATCAGTATTTGTAGCAAAGTATACAAGTCTATTTGTTCACCAACAAATTTAATGAAGTCAGGGTTCTGGAGCCAATTAGGATGTAGGTGCCATCTAGGGGAACCTTTGGTTAGCTTTCAATCTATATAAAATAATGAAGTGGGAGAATTATCTGACAAAACAGCACTATCATATATACAGCTGTCTATATTCGAAAGTAAAGAAATTGGAATTAAGAAATAATCTATTTGTGAAGAGGTTTTAGACAGTGAAGAAAAACATGAATATTCCTTTTTAGTTGGATTTAGTGTTCTCCAGGGGTCACATAGGTTTAAATCTTTCATAAACTGTTTAATTTTTTCCTGCTTTGAGGGTGAGAGCTATCCAGTCCTGAAGAGCGGTCAAGCAACGAGTTACAATTACGAGTTTGGAACGACATGAGGGTAAATTAATGACAGAATTTTCATTCTTGGGTGAACTATCCCTTTAATTTAACAATAATAAAAAAGGTGTTTTTCCGAATATTTTTATTATTTTTTATAGAAATAAATAGTGTATAATTCAGAGGTGAATATTGTTTACAGAGAAATACACTCGTATTCTACTCCCATGACAATATCTGAAAGATGTCAAGAAAACAGCATTACTTTTACCTCAGTAAAGTGATTAAGAGTCAACAGCTCATTCCTACGTTTTATATAAAAAAGTACGAATGGAGTATATTGCTAAATATGCTCCACAGTCGAATTAGAAAAATGAGACTAACCTTTTACATAAATTCAATAAAATTCATGTGTTTCTGGGTCAAAGTGATTCAAAATCAAGTTTGTTATTGCAAATTACTTTCAGTATTTTGGCAGACATAATATTCCGTTTCTGTTAACTCGTTTAGGGAGATCAGTTTATGCCTTCATCCATCCTACCTTATGTGCAATTTAAATGTTCATGTACAATTTTTGAGTGTTGATTATTATATCTGAAAATAAATAGTAATTGAATGTGATAGTTTGGGTTCTGTTGTTAATTTGAACCTTTGCAAACAAATGACAATAAATATATTTTGGGGGAAAAAATGTAACCTTAAATATTATAGTAATGAGTCAAGTGAAAGTGTTCCATTTATAGTTTAGCATTAGTTGTGAAATCGAATTGTGAAATGTGGATCACATAATGTATTATAGTTATACTTTTGACATTTCATGCTAATTACACACATAAAATATAATGAGTGAAAAATAATTGACAAACGTATTTGCGAAATGTTACTTCTCAACATATCTAAATTTTTCTCTTATTGCTTTTATGACCTAGAATTGAACAGTATTCCTGATAGTGGAAATCCAAATATTGTTAAAACAAAAAAAAGAGAGATTTTTTTTCATAATTAAATAATTATCATACATGTTTCTTCTGAACATAATGATCATATAAAACATTTTTATTTCTGTAATATATATTTTTTACTTTTTTACAGCATAAGCTGTATTAAATATAACCGAAAAAACAAGGTAATGTAGTATTTTATTTTTTTTAAATGTCACAAAAAAAAAAAATCATATCAGGACACAAAAGATGTGTTGTACAGAGAAAACACAAGCTCTATATTCAGTACAGCGTGTCTCATTGTAGAATGTGAAGAGCTGCTGGATTCAGTGCAGCAGGATGAAGGAGAGCAGAGAACAGCAGAGGAACAGGAAGCTCTGAGTGACACTCTGAGCACCGTTACACCAGTTCCCCTCACAGCATGAGATGTCCTTCATACTAGGAATCAAGTCTGAGGCTTCGCAAATAGATTTAGTGGCACAACCTTTAACAACGGCTGAATACCCTAAGTAACTCCCTGATGAAAAGAAAGAAAACAAAGTTTTATCCAAGCTGGAAATAGGTAAATGTGATCTGTATCAAATGCTCAAACATAAGATAGATAAATTAACTTTTTTTTCTTTTCCAGATTCTCACCTGTTGCTTTAAAGCAGCGGTCTTCACTCCCTGAACAACTCAATGTGTTTGAGCAGCTCTTCTCATCACAAGCGTAACATTTCTTTCCGTTGGGGACATTAGAGGGATCTACAGGATGAAATCATGTATCATTTTATTTTCTGTGCAAAATATAAAATCTAATGAAATAACACTCTGCTAGCTGCTACATTCAATCAATTCACAGCTGACAAGCTGCACCCTATATTGTATTTCCTGAATGAACTTTGAAAGTAAAATGAGTGTTAACCTTAAAGACAAGTCATTTGCATATGGTCAGTAAAAAGTACATTACCTGGAGCGTCTTGGATGTTACACTGGTCTGTGTTACAGCACGCTAAAGATGACTTTGAATAGCCGAGGTTTATGGATCCACTTACACAGTCAGGAGAACATTCTTTAATCTTCCTTTTAGTACTGATGCGATCTGAAAGCAAGAATGATTCAGGAAAGACCAGCTCAACACATTCTTTTGACGGAAAATATATTTATAAATGTCAAAATGTAGCATTTTATTATTTTAAATATTGATTCAATTTTAATACAAATTTTAATACAAATAAATTGTTAGCATAACAATCTGAGAGAAACAAATTAAACAGCAGAAATCTAAATAGAATATTCTGTGATTGCAATCATAAATTCTGTTAGGAAATTAGCAGTTCTGTGACAAGTTACATTTCCAGTGAAGCAGCACCAGTAAAAAACACCAGCATCTCCATCAGTCAAATATAACAGTGAATTTAAGTTCATCATATTGTACTTACCAACTTGTACAGCTGTTGTTAAACTCCAGCACGTGGAAGATCCACTTGGACATGTTTGTACTTTTTGATCCGCACAAGAACCCGTCAGACCCATACAATCATAACAGCTGAAAGAGTGTCCTTTAATAATAAAACAGAGAGACATCAATAATCTGTATTTGTACTCAATAACATTACACACACTATTTGTCTTCGTACCTGCAGTGAATAGAACGAACAGAAGAAAAACTGAGATTTGCAGATCCATCTTTGATCAGGAGGTGAATGAAATAACGTCTGTTTCAGTGCCCGTTTTATAGCTTTTCAAAGGGGAGGGTCTTTGTGAGAAAATGAAAGTTTAACAGAAGTAGGCATTGCTAGAAACAGAAATTTCAGCTTACATAAAATGTAATAATTTTAATAAGGAATTACAAGGAATGTACAAGGCTGCTTAAACCAACCCTCTTAAAGGGATAGTTTACCCCACAATGAACATTCTGTCATCATTTGCCCATCATCATTTGTTCATCCTCATGTCATTTCAAACCTGTTTGACTTACTTTCTTCTGTGGAACACAAAAGAAGATATTTTGTGTGTGATTTTCGTCCATAAGATGAAAGCAATATCCCTTTGTGTTCTGCATTATAAAGTTGTGCATAAATTGTATATATATGAATGCTTTATTTTATTTTATAACTTTTTTTTTTTGAGAAAAAAATGAAATAAGACATGAGACAGAAAACACACACACACACAAAACAAGGATGTAGAATGTAGAGGGGAAAAAAACAGGATATTTTATATGTAAATATATTAAATGATAACTGTCACCACTGCTATAATCACACTTATACAAAAAAGTGCAAGTGGTTAAATGACAAGGGATCTTTAAGAAAAGGAGAGAGGCAAAAAAACAATAGTAATAATGATGATAATCTTAATATAAAGTAGAAAAGAAAAAAATTTGAATAAAAGAAAGTGAGAGAAAGGGGGGATAGTGAGTGGCAAGATAGACTTTGTGTTCTGCTCACACTGTGTGGGGTATGAAACATCCTGTTTAAACAGAACCATAAGTTTCCTTTTCTCGGAAATCATGAATGATTAGACTTGATACATTAGAAAGACAAAACCTGAGCCTGTAATGACCCCTTGAGAATGTGATTTTTATCACATTCTCAAGCACGACTAAAAGTAGTGGTAAAAGTATTTTTTAAGTTATTATTATTATTATTATTATTGGTATCATTATTATTTTGGTCTATAGTCCAAAACAGGAAAAATGTTCATCCATGAATTTTTCATGCCTGTGTAGGGTTATCTCAGCTATCTCTTAAAACTCAGCTGGCAACTTGATAGACTGGGCAGGACAGGACAAGGCAGGACAGGAACAGGCAAGGTACACGTGCAACAACAAATAGGGACAGGATTGCAAACACAAGGAGAATAAATATGGAGCAAACAAGGCAGGTAATAGGGACAACAGGTGGGGCAAATAAACCAATAATCAGGTAACAAGATGGGTGGGATCAAGACAATAGACATGAGAGCACATGGCACACATAACCAAAAACAAAAAAACAAAAGCCATGCGCTCACACAAAACAAAAACACAAGAACATGGCCAGCAAAACAAATCACAATCCATTGGCCTGTATCACGAAGCCGGTTTTAGTTTTTACCCAGGTAAGTTCACGTTTAGTTTGAGCAAACTCTGAGTTTTCGGCCTCAAGAAGGTGGGTTGGTTTTGAGCGAGTTTCGTCACCATGGTAACTTACGATACACAGCTACCCTGCTCCGGAGCAGGTTTTATTCTGGGTTAGAGATCGCAAACCCAAACTGGACCAATCAGCTGTGAGCAAAGTGACATATATCTGAAGCAATAGCTTGTTTGCAATCACGTGATTCTGATGACGCGCGAAATTCAGATGGAGGGCAGGAAGTGAAAAGCATAATGGATGAGATGGAGGAAAGTCCGTACTCTACTGGTTTAGACACTATTACAAGAGAAAGGTATAAACAGAAAATCACGACATATGTTGGACGTGATCCTTATGTTATGAAGAGGAGCGATTTTTCAAATAAATTGCCTGTCATAGAGGTGGTGGATATAGGCTAAGCAACTAACCCTGATTGCAAACAAGCTATTTTGAAAGTGAATCCTGCATTTATATGAGGGATGCGGGATATATGTCACTCCCGAAACTTTGTTGCATGTACAGGGTATGTGGCCGTTGATCCTGTTAGCAGCATGTAAAACAAAACTTTTCTTCAAATTCTGAATTGATTATAGCCTAGAAAGCGAGCTAATAGCGCTTTTATATAATCACTAAAAAGCTGTCACTCACTTCAATTTATCGCAATCTCAAAATGTTCCGTTATAATCTGTGAAGCTCTCTAAACTGCACATATCTTATTGAGTTTAGCATTGAGTGAATTCTGACTGTCTCGTGCTGAATGCGTGAGAGTTGGCAGCCCTGTATCTATTTATATATTTCTTTATTAATATTATAATCTCTTATATTAACCATTTGCACACACGAGCATTATCTGACTCGGCTCCTCCCGACCGCAGACGCAGGTTTACAAGCCACTTTTTCTTTCGTTTTTCAGTCAAATTCTTGCCTTTCCCCCCCTTATGAACAACAAATTTTCATACATGATAAAAGCTCCTTGTGGTTTCTCGGTTTGACTGATTTGATCATCCATAAACAACGCAAAACATACGCATTTTGAGTTTCTGCTAGCGATTCCTATATAGAAAAATCACTGTCTGCCCTTCAGCTGCATTTCGCACCACAGCAATGATGTCATGTGCTCTCGCTTCAAATTAAAGCAGTTTAGAGTCAGTAGGCTTGTTTGAGATGCGCCTCGCCTGAAATGTAGGCGAGAGTAGGCGGCTGCAGTGAGGGGAGGAGTGAATTAAGCGCAGCCAAGACGGACAGTTCTGACCTCTCGAAGTGGAACACAGGGCCGTGCACAGACATTTTGAGGGGCAGTGGCCCAAACC